GCTTCCTCTTACACCAATCTCCCCAAGGGCCCCTCTGGGCTGCCGACTGCTCACCTCCCACCCCATACCATGTCCATGCACAGTGACACCAAGCCAGCGCACCCCACAGCCCTGGGGAGGCCTGGGTGCAGCCAGGACCCCAGTTCTGAGGACACAGTTCAGACCCGGCTCCCCCTCCTCAGAAGTGCTGTGACTCTGGACAGGCCACGTGCCTCTCAGGGTCTCTCCAGTCCCGCATCTGCACCATGGGGGGTCATTCTGGCCTCTGCTTCCTAGGGAAGCCATCAGGTCTGTAGACTATAAATACTTACAGCCCCTGTAACACCCATGGGCTGGCATCACAGGGAGCTCATGCACAGACTCAGCAAAGGAAGGATTCCACAGAGGGCTGGCGGAGTGCAGAGCACACCCGACACAGGCCTGGGTCTGCTCTGGGGTCTGGAGAAAGTCACTCTTCTTGCTGCCTGCTTCCCAGCCCCCCCGTGGGTGGGTTGAAATGAAATGCGATTCAGACACTGTCCGCTCTGGCATACAGCCTTCCAGGTCCTCCTGTTATGTTCAGACTCAGGTGCCAGTGTCTCTTCTCGGCCTGTGTGGTGCCCCACTATGGCTCCCTGCATTCTTGCCTCCTGGTCACTCGGCCTTGTGTGATTCCCACACCCACACATGCAGGATGGTTGGACCTTGTGCCTGGGTTCTGACAGGTAGACTGACTTATGAAAAGTGCGTGACTTCCACCCATTCCCAGCTCCCGTGTTCATTCTCTGTCTCTCAGTGCCTCGTCTGTCTGTCTGTCTGTCTGTCTGTCTGTCTGTCTTGTCTCTCTCTCTCTCCCTCTGCCTCTCTGTGTTCCTGTCTGTCTCTTTCTTGTGTGTGTGTGTGTATTTATACATTTATATTTATATGTATTTGTGTGTGTGTGTGTGTTGTTAGAGCCCAGGGCAGGTCATTTCTAAAGATGCCTGAATGACGTATTGATTGTTTTGAATTCATGTTATTGAAGAAATGACCCATGTAAGAGAGACACTGTCCGCCCCCTCTCTGTCGCCCTGTGACATCTCTCCTATGAAAGGTGCACCACCTGGGGGCTGAGGGTGAGGGCTGAGCGCTACAGACACTCTGGCTCCTGCAGATCAGTTCATGCTGGGAACCTTCTGTTGTGACTGCTG